ACCTTTCCCTGTGGACCAGAGCATTCAGCAGGGAGAATCTTGGTCCCATTCCAGACCTGCTAAATCAGAATCTATTTTTTTAATAAGACCTGCTCTGGGAGGAATGGGAGAGGAGATAATAGCATTGATAAATTATCTGATATATTTGACTATGGAAACTACTTAGAGGCTGTTAGAGAAGTGGGAAAAATTTGCGATGGAATAAAGAAAATTAAAGAGAAAAAAGATGAACTATTTAACTCCCTTCCTACCCCTAAAGAAAACACAAGAGGTTGTACATGAAAGTAAATGTAATCATATATGATACTTGGCTCTGTAAAATTATAGCTACATAACCACAGTATTGGAAACATTGAACAAAAATTGTGATATATTGCTATCAGTGGTATAAGAGAGCTAAATCATCATTGATCATAATAGGGCACAGAAAAGCAATATGTAAAAATGGATATATAGAGAAATAACAGCACAAATGTGTTATTGTCTTGAGAAATATGTAGATAAGTACCAGATAAAACAACTAAGCATTTGACTGGGTGTGGTGGTTTGTGCCTATAGTCTCAGCTACTGGGGAGGCTGAGGCGGAAGGATAGTTTGAGCCCAGGAATTTGAGATTTGAAACGAGCCTGGGCAACATAGTGAGATCTTGTTTCTAAAACAAAAACAAAAACAAAAGAAAAACTAAGTATTTAAAGAATTAAAAAGGCTGTTCCTGGGGAATGAGGAGGGACAGGTTGGACATGAGGCTGACACTTTTCTTAAAAGCTCTTTGTCCTATTTGGTTTTCAAAAAACTATTATATATTACTTTTACAGAGTAAAAACTACATTTAAAAAGAAAAGGAGCAAGTGGTTGCCTCAGCAAAATCCTGATGAACATCCCCACTTCACAAGGCATCTCCCAAACAGGAGCCATGAGAGACAGGGGCATCTAGAAGCTCTGTCCTCCGAGCCTTGAAAAATTCCGAGATCCTGCCTTTAATGAAAGGCATTGTCTATGACTGATGATTTGGTTTCTGTCAAAATGACTCAGATGTTATGCAATCAGAATTTTGGCTGTTATGCAATAACTTGATTTCTAAATACCATTTGTTCTTCTTTCCCCCAATCTCATTCTTTTCACTTTGGATCCCTTGGGTGCAAATAAAAGTTCTTTCTTCCCCCACCCCCCACCCCCCAAATAATCTTCTATGAGAATATAAATCATGGACAGAAGTCTAATTAGAGAGGGCTAATAAGAGAAAAGAGATGAGGAAAGGGAAATAGATTATAGGTGATATTTTCAGAAAGTTAAACATGAAGGGGAACTGAGAATCCAGCAGGAGCTCTTCACACTAGGAAGGTCAAGGACTGGATGGTTTGATTTAAGCTGCAAATTCTATTGAGAGGACAGGGAATACAAACTAGAAGAGCTCAGTTTAGAACAGGAAGATAAACTTGGAAACAAAAGATAACAGTAAACACATCTGCTTCAGAAAGTAAGGCTTAGGTCACGTGTGCGCCAGGAGAAAGGGACCAGGAGGTTGTGTTACAGGATAAACATGGGCCCATCTTCCAGGAGAGTTTATTTCACTTGGAGGGGGCAAAGGCTATTCGAAGTCATATTTAAGCAAACCCCATATACATAATGAAGTAAAATGCTTTAATTTACCTTAAATGTATAGATAGGACCCAAGACTTCAAAGGTGTTTCTCACAAGACTTGGGCAATGCTGGGAGGCTCCTTCCTGAAGTTCCTCTGGTTAGGGTGCTTGGGTGGGATCACAGTGAGGTATGATAAGTGAATGAAGGACGAATCCTAGAAGTGAGGTTGCATCCATTTGCTTCTGGAAGAGGTTGTAGAAGATGCAGCCCTTACAAGATCTTTTGAGTGAAGAACAGGTGTTCATCATGCAAATAAGAAGGAACAGAATGTTCTGAAAGAGGAAAGATAAGTACTATTATCTGGAGGCCTGAAAGGCACTATGGATTGAAGTAAACACACCCATTCCAAATTCTGCCAGTGAGTAGGTAGGCCAAGGGAGGGGGGTGCTGGGGAAAAGGCTGAGAAGAAAGAAATAGGGGGACCGTTAGAGCTTTTTTTTTGAACAGATAAAGCTAGACCTACAGCATTTTTTTAAACCAGATTAAGGTGTCTAAACTTGGTGCTAAGATCACTAGAGAGACAAGGAGGGATTTTAAGGCAAAAAGTGATATCAGATTTGCATTTGGGAAAGATCATTCTCCTGGCACTCTAGTGAATCAACTGCCTTTTCTCTCTTTTTTTTTTTTTCTTTGAGACAGAGTCTCACTCTGTTGCCCTGGCTAGAGTGAGTGCCATGGCATTAGCCTAGCTCACAGCAACCTCAAACTCCTGGGCTCAAGCGATCCTACTGCCTCAGCCTCCCGAGGAGCTGGGATGACAGGCACGTGCCAGCATGCCCGGCTAATTTTTTCTATGTATTTTTAGTTGTTCAGATAATTTCTTTCTATTTTTTTTAGTAGAGACGGGGTCTCGCTCTTGCTCAGGCTGGTCTCGAACTCCTGAGCTCAAACAATCCTCCCGCCTCGGCCTCCCAGAGTGCTAGGATTACAGGCGTGAGCCACCGCGCCCGGCCCCTGCCTTTTCTCTTAATCATAACTCCAACTAAAAGGTATAGCACAAAATTTGGAAGGACTTTTGTCACAAATATAATACAGGATTGACATCTTTAATTTATAAAATGTTGGTGAGAAACAGCACTAGAACCAGCCTTGAAAACAGTGGGCACTGGCCTAAAAAGCTCATTTCTAGAATATATTAAATGACTGTCTAATACATGAGAAATGACCAGCCTCACTGTCATATAAAAGCATAATAAAATAATAATTTGATAAATCTTACCCATCCTAATAGCAAGGATATGAAATAATAATCCTCAGTGCTAGCAGAGATTAGGTGAGGACACTTCCATTGATGGTGTAATGGGTTCAACATTTCAGGAAGGGACCTTGGCAATGTGCTCATACCCTTTGACCTGAGAACTCTACTTCTGGAAATTTATCAGATAACTTATAAGGAAGTTTTCAAAGTTGTGAACAAAGACTTTTCTATAAAGTGCATTATATATAATAGGAAAAAAAACACAATATCCCATGACCTTGGCAATTATGCAACTATTAACAATGTTTTGAGTTATACAAAAAGCCCAACTGATTGTTTTTATGATGTATTACACATAAGCGTAAAATAAACACTGGAAGGAAATATGTCAAAATGTGAATTGAGGCTATTGTTAGTTGGTAGACTAAGCGTGATTTTCATTTTATAGAAATAT